CTTTCACTCACCTGGTGTCCTTGAAGCAGTGGGCTGCCGTGAGGATCCACTTGGCGCCAATGAGCGACCCTCCACAGGTGTGTTGGTAGCCAGACTTGAACGGGGTCCGGATGCTGACTATCCAGGGCCAGGTCCCTGGCAGAGTGTCGATGCCTCCCACAATGGGGAGAGAGTGGCTGGGTGCCAAGGGGCGCCGGCCACAGAGCCCTCTAGAAACAGCAAGAGCAAGGAAACCTTGGAGCTCCTGGCAGCCTTTACAGGTAATCTTCAACTTATGAATGGCTACTTAGTGACCGCTTGGACCTCTCCAGAGCTACTTACCACCCAGTTTCATAAGTTCCAGTGGCCATTCCCCTCCCGTGAACAGATGTCCCAAAGGTGCCTTTAGGATAACCATGGTTTGAAAGAGGGGTCACAAAGGCCATCTAAGTGAAGACTGAACAGCCCTCTCTTACCAGAGAGGGAGGGACACGACACCACCCGTCTCCTGTCTCCAGCACAGCCCTGTCAGAAGCTCCAAGAAGGCTCCACACCCATTTGCACGTCTCAGGTGACCCTGAGGGCACAGAAAAGGCTCCGAGCGGCCTCAACGACTCTCGGAGGGAGTACTAATGACCAGATGACTGCAAGGGATCGAAATCTTTCCATCATCCACCGTTCAGAACTGAAGAAGCTTCTTGGATGAGAAGCGAAACATCTTTAGGGGAAAACAAAGTCCAGTTGCCTTTTGAAAAAGCACCTCTGGGACTCCCATGAACAGTTGGTGACTGCATTTGGGGTATTTGGCAACCATCTGCATTTATAGTTATTTGTGCTTATTATTATTATTACTTTATTATTACTTTAATTTATACCCCGCCCTTCTCCCGAGGGACTCAGGGCGGCTTACAGGCAAGTAAAAACAGAGCTATACAATAAATATCTAAAAGCCAAATTAAAATATATATTAAATAACCTGTATTAGAAAAATTATAAAATCCCTTTAAAATCCCTATAAAATCCCCCCCTAGGCCAATCCCACTTGATGGAAAAGCCATGTCTTGAGGGCACGGCGGAAGGAGGGGAGATCCGGAATAATCCGGATCTCTGGGGGGAGTTCGTTCCACAGGGTGGGGGCTCCCACAGAGAAGGCCCTCCCCCTGGGGGTCG